GTCTCAGTTATAAATCTTGCAGGATCGTGCAGAATCTAGGCGAGTCAATCAGCATAGGTTCAGTACCATGGTGGACATTCAGATTGGTACAATACCTTTAGGAGCTCGTAAAGGGTCGAATTTGAAGAATATAGCCCGAGTGGAGTTCAGGAGATATGGATAATGCCGATTTGACACTATCACCTGTGGTGTTATTGTATTCAATTGCTAGGGACGGATCAATGGAAAAGGATATGTGGATTTTGATTTTGTTGAACATGCTTTAAGGGGAGTATAATGTGTACAATCTAGCAAGGGGCCTTCTTTAAAAGTATTTGGATTTGATCTTGTTTTGGGGTGTGTTACAATTCATTTTAGTGAATTTTAAAATCATTATGATTATTTGGGAATCCAAGGTAATTCTGCAGAGTAGTGCTTAGATTTATTGGAAGAGGTGGAGTATTTTGTGTTGGTTAGAGAAATCAGTTTTGATTATTGTTGAAGAGTTGGTTTATTCCTTGAGAAAGATTTTCTTCTCCAAGTGTAGAACATTTTGGAGCTTTGTCTGTTGCAGTGGAATTCGTATTAAGGTGGTGATCATTAGATTTGAGTGTGATCTGAATTCCTTGTTGAAGTAATTGAAGAATTCTAATTGAAGTGCGTATTAAGAAGAATTGAGTTTGAAATACTATTGGAGTCATATGTCAAGTTGAAGTTCTATTTCGAAAACCCATTGGGAGTTAAAATTTATTTTACATTTGATTTTTTGGTATCCCACTTCATCAACAACTATACTAGGAAGGTTTGTACATGTTCCCTATAATTTTATAAGGTGAGAAAATAGTTTACTATAATTATTGGATACATTGTAATTTTCTATCTTCTTCATTATTCTTGAGTTAACAAAATCTCATAATTCCTCTGCCATATATCTTACCTTTATTATTCTTTTACTTGATCTAATGTTTCATTATTTGACATATAACTTCAATAATTCATTCCGGTAGTTGATTTCATCAAGTTGTATTCTAATAATACATAATTCTTGTATTTCGAACATTGCTATCAGCGATCCAGACATATAAATATTTCTTCTAATAAGAGATATTTTGGTTGTTTCACAACAAGTGTTATCGAGCGATATGTGATCCTTGAATTCCCAACAGTTGGTATTAGAGATTCTGGACATAATTAACAGAGCATTGAAAAAAGCAACCGACAATTGATGCATGTATGCCATTTTCTAAAGCAGAATTATGACTATTGACTGCCAAGAGTTGGCTAATATACAGCCCCCTTTTGGCCCCCATTTTTCTCCATTAAATTATAATTCATTTTTCTCACTCTTCTTATCGTTCACATATTTTCCAATAAAATAATACGACACGTAAATTCAAAAACTTTTCCTTCCTTTTTAACAGCACATTATCCAAAAAATTACTACTCGCCTCATTATAATGTGGAATAATGGGGTCAAACGAACGTACAATGTCAGCCATTAATTACTTATCAGGTTTTAAAGAATGATACAATAACTTGACAAAGAACGTACTAAATTTTCCAATTTTAAGAA